AGCTAACACTGCTAGGCTGATAGCTAGCATTGTGTATTTCTTAAAATTATTTTATTTTTATTAGGCTGTGCAAATATAAAATCTTATGATTGATTCTGGCATTGAGATTTGTTCCAATGTACAGAGACAATTTTCTTAGAACTCAGAGTGATAAAGGAAGCAAGGAAATAAAAGTATGTGAATACAGTGTTAAGATTACCCATTTGAAGTCAGACTTTAGTGCATGTGCATATTTGCAAGAGCATAAACTGGGATTTTTACATTAAACACCCTGGAAATATTGTCCATTGTTGTAAAGACTATGAGCCACAGGTGCAAAATACCCACATTTACACAGTTTTGAACACTTCATTTTGCAAAGGCAATGTGACCAGATGGTAATCATTGGAATAGCTTCAGTGTAGCCAATAAAAAAAAGGCTTCTTTGTGCAAGTGGAGCATTTTTCCTTCTGTGTTTAGATATCCTTAATTTTTTTGATTCTGAACCAGATGTGTATCTTTGTCTTTTATCAGTGTTTAGGTCAGCACCTTAACTGTTCCTCCAGAGCTCTAATAAAATGTACATTTGGCTATAATTTGCAGTATTTCTCAAAACAATTCAAATGGAAATCTTCATCCAAACCCCCTCAAAGATCAAGTTGCATACTGAATGAATTCCCTTTTAAAGGTCCAGGTTCACAAAACATACAAGTTTTCATTGTGCTATTCTCTAAGCATTGCTAGGTTTTACTGATCACTACTCAAGGGTGAAATTTTGAAACGTGCTATTCAATTAATTATCATAATTCAGATATTTAAGCTGCATAAACCAGTGCTGTATTGGTATTAAATTACCTTTCCTACTGTATTGTCATACTACTCACTAAACACACCATATCCCAAATGACAATGTAGGGTTTACATTATGCTATTGCATATAATAACTAATGTCAGATGACTTTGCAACTTAAGGTTTCAAAATTCTCATCTCCTCCAAGCTACACAGATAGCTGTTTCTATCCGTCTGCAGGTATGTAATCTAATTTCAGTATTGTCTTGCTTGTTTATAGTGGGATGTGCCTAACCCTAAAATAACATATGGTTCATATCCTCTGTTCCCTCTGTTTTCAAGATTGTGCTACGTGGGAAACTATTAATATCTATGGGAGTAGAATTAGAGTTTAAATTAAATTGTAACATATTTTAAAGGAATAGTAGCACTGCTGGCTTAAACTAAGTAAAGTTAATTCATAATGCCTACAGGGTCTCCAACTGTGTAGAGCTTGTACATTTTTACAATTGAATACAGGTGGACCTGATTGTCATATTTTGAATATTTTGCAAAAGCTGTGGTTATGTTCAAAATGCACACACTATTTTTCAGCGAAGATGATGGGAGAACCTAAAAAGTTTTTTACTGCTCTTGGCTGGCATCTGAAATATCAGATCTCTGAACAATCCCTTGCTTACAGATAGGCTGAATCTTATCAGCTTCTCACATTTTAACACTTTATTAATACATTATCTAATGACAGATGTCCATGTAGCTTGTGGTTCACCCTGTTGGACCGTATCTCCAGAAAAATCATTTACTCTAGGCATGGGCACAAGGTCAGCATCCCATGAGAGCAGTGATGCCTAGACATCTCCCTATTCCCCCAGAGAAACAAGAGCACTGGTGCATTTAAGCAGCCTTGTCACTAGTAGGGCATTCGGCCTGATCTACAGTGGCAAAGGAAAGTCTATGCTAGTGCACACAGGCAGGCCCATGTTCTCAGGTGACTACACTAATTTGTAGCATGAGTACCCAAGGTCCAGGGTGCTCGCTGGGAGCAGCACAACGCCTGTGGCTGCTGCTTCCTCTTTTGTGCCAGGGCGGAGCAACTTGATTTGAAACAGAAGGACTTTAAATGGACACCTAATTAGGACAAAATTTTTTTTGTGTGTGTGTGTGTCAACCTTACACTGTAATGAACACATGCTTTGTGTGATTGTCTTTGTGCAGTAAAATACCCACTGATGTTCAAGAGGAGTAACTGGATTGGAGAGTTCAAATATCCTAATACCTAAGAGCATCATTTACTCTCTAGGACTTTAACATCTAGACTTCCTTCCTGAGCAGAGTCAGCTGGAAGCTTATTTGATTCATGACTCTCAATGTGGTTTAAAAAAAAAAAAAAAAGACTTGGATTAGCTCTAAGACTATTTCATTTCAACTTCCTACCAGTAACCATGATGCTCTCTAGGGGAAGTTGCACAAGAATACTAGGAAGGGGAAAAATGATGGTGTTGTGGCTGCCACACTGGTTGGAGAGTTAGGCAACTTTCTGGTATGGCTTGAGTGCAAATCTTTTTAAATTTCAGTACTTCATCTTTTTCCCTGATATCCTGCTGAGGAGGGAAGATATGAATGTCTCTTAAAATGCCACCTATAACATTTTCTGTCATAAATTTGGATAGTAAGATTTCTGAAGTATGGACAATCTCTGCTATATGATTCAGTGCTTTCAGATCAGTGTAGGCTTGGTCTTCAAATTCCAGCATTCCTAATAAGGAAGAATTGGAGACAGAGGTACAAGCTTCTTCTCGGTTCTTGCTTGTACTGATAGCAGGAGTACCACAGAGAGCAAAGCCAAGAGCTGAGGAGGTGCCACACAGCACAACTTGCTGACACCAAGATGAGCTGCAAAACCCTGAACTCAGCAAATAGTAAGCAGCATCACATCTGTGCAGCTGAGAAATCACATTATCCCCAAATGAGAAGGTACAAACAGGAAGGGTAGCCCTGCAACTTGACCTTTAGAGTGGAATCATGGACATGTGTTTCTCCTTGCTCCGGAGGTAAGTGGGAGACACCTGAACAGCCTTCTGCAGGTGTAGGCATACTCTGCCTGTGCTCTGAGCCAGCCACACCATAGCTGCAGGAAGGTAAATGAAGAGGATTGAAGTCAATGACATGATATTCCACTTTCGTGATTTCTGGTTGACTGAGCATGAGGACAGCATCCAGTCAGTCACCTGTAGAAAATGTCTCCGCAAGACTGAGAATGTAATTTAATCTTCTGGTATTGTACTTCATCATCTCTGTAGGTATGGGTGGGTAAAGGACTATTTTAATTCCATTTTCTATGCAGATGCTAAGCATTTCTAGGTGTTAGCACATGAGTGTATATGTGTTTACAGCAGCTCTTTTAATAGGATTTATCAGTCATTACAACATCAACTAAAAGTTGTTACAGTAGAAAATGTAATAATCACAACATAATGTGATATATGCCTAAACTCACCAAAGAACTTCAGTTGAGCACTTACTTAAATAGTATTTATTTTATGTTTCAGATGACTATGTGCTATGGCATGAACCAAAGATAGAGCCATTTAGACCAAATGACAGGTTTCACCCATCAGAAGAAAAATTTGACCACAGAACCATTGTCCAGGATGAATATCTCTACAGAGGGCCGGTTGCCACTCAAAGCTGCAAACCTCTGACTCTGGTCCAGAAAACAAAAGCTCCTTTTGAGAATATAACTAATTATAGAGTGAGTTATGTGCCACATCCCCTGGAGAAATGTTATGTCCATAAAAATGAGAAATACAACGTCAATAAGGTCCCATTTGATGGCCTCACTACCCACAAAGTTTCTTACAAGGGGCTGGCTGGTCAGCCAGCCAAGCTTGCAAAACCATACCAGCCAAAGATTCTCCATGATCTTCCATTTTTCTCTACAACTGAGTTTCATGAAAAGTACCAAGCTTGGCCACAGGCTCCCTTATTCACCAAAAAACTTGACGTATATCTTCCTCCTCTAGAGAAGATGGACCTTCACACTACTACTCAGTTACATTACAAGTACCCAAATGGCAAGCCAGCCAAGATGTGTCGATCTTTGGCCAAGCTTAAAAAAAGTACTGAGCCATTCAATAGCTTATCAATAATGAAGGAAGACTATAAGCCCTGGCTGTGCAAGAGACTAAAACCTATCACTCATGCTCCGGAGCTGGCTTTCCCAGCAAAACCAATGGATTGCTTGACTACCTTTCATACCCATTATGTGCCACATCCACTCACAGTTACGAAGAGCTATAAACCTGCCTGGTCAGGCCCAAAGCACCACACTCTGCTAGATGCTAAAACTACCTACAATACCAGCTACACACCAAAGGGCATTGTTAGATGCTTGGCTTCTTACAAAAACCCACCTGGTTACATCTTTGAGGGAGCTGATGCTGATGGTCACAATTTCTATGTCCCTGCTTCCAAGGGTGAATGCCTGCAAGGTGGATACTGAAGGAAGAAGAGTGGATGCAGCCTTCTTGGAAATGTATTCAAAAAACAGGGCTTAAGTGAACTACAAATGACAGTTTGATATTGTTTGTAACCTTTCAAATCCATCACTGATTCCACATTTGAAGAGCTCTTAAAATAAACTTAATTTCCAGGCAGGGGCTTTTTCTGGATCATTTGCTCAAATGAAAAACAAGATACAGGGAAAAGACACATTGATCCTTGTTTCTCTGTATTTTTTGTCTTTTTCTCACTTAACTCTTGCTCTTTAATTGAGAACTTCAATGCCTCCTAATTTGGTGTTGCTCTGAAGCAGAGCCTTTGTGTGCTGCTTGACCTCCCTTGGAGGAAGGGTTTATTTAATCCAGTCTGTTTCAGTCTCCTCCTGAGTGGAATGCTGATCACAAGGTGAGCCTGTGCACCTCATGGACAGCACTGTGCTTCTGATCTTTCTGGCCTCCTGTGGAGGCAGCAGTCCTCCCTTTGCTCTGTAACACAGCTAAAGAATTCAACACCTTCCCAGTGTGCAGTTTAATTTTGATTAAATTGAGCAGTGTCATTAGCAAATGTGCTGGGTTTCTGTGTGTGTCAGGGGTTTTTAGTAGCGCAGGAGGGGCCTACAATGGTGGCCTCTCCTTCTCTCTGAGATTGTGACCACTCTAAGAAAAAGTTAAATTTGTTACTAACATAAGGCAAAACTAACTTCTGCTCACCTTTATCCATAAATTCATTCTGCATGAAAACATTAACCAAATCCTGTGTACTGCAGTGCAGCCCATCTCTATTTTTTGTGTTAAACACCTCCATTCTGCCCCAGATCATAATTTTGTCTTGTGCTGATTTGCTGTCCTGGTTTGAGACCAGAGGGCAACTGAGCACCATGCAGCCACTCCCTCACCTCTTCCCCCTCTGGAATGGGAAGGAGAAAAATAAAGCAAAAGGCTCAGGAATTGAGATAAGGACAGGGAGGGATGATTTACCTGTTATGCTTATGGGCAAAAGACAAACTTATAAGGGGAAGAAAACATGAATTTAATACAAACACTAAGAACAACAACACTTAACAGCATTACAACATCTTAAAAACACCTCCCCCCACCCCTCCCTTCTTCCTGGGCTCATCTTTTCCTCCTCATTACTTCCTCCTTGCCAGGAGCACAGGGGAATGAGGGTGTGCCATCAGTCTGCTGCTCGTTCCTACTCACAGGGCGGATTCCTCACATTCTCTCCTGCTCCAGCATGGTTCCCCTCTCATGGACGACTTTCGTCCATGAACTTTCTATGATGTGAACCCTTCCCATGGGCTGCAGCCCTGCCCAAGCAGCTCCAGCATGGGTCCCTCCTGCATGTTGCACTCCTTCCAGGGCCAAACTGCAACAGTGGGGTCTGCTTCTTCCCACAGAGTCCCAACCTTCACTGGGTGCAGTCACTTGCTCTGGTGTAGGATCCTCCACAGGTTTGCCGGGGAGCATCTGCTCCACCCTCATGGATGGCAGAGGGAGGCAGCCCTGCTGTCTCACCATGGGCTGCAGGGGAATCTCTGCTCTGGTGCACCTCCCTGGACTCCTTTCTTCCAGTAACCTCGGTGTTCACAGAGGTGTCATCCTCATAACTTATCCTCACAACTCCTCTCATTTCTCATTCTGAAATACGTTATCACAGAGGTGCAGCCACGATTGCTAACTGGCTCAGCCTTGGCCAGAGGTGTGTCTGGACTTTGAGCTGGGGGAGCTTTGAGAAGCTTCTCACAGGGGCCTTCTCACACTGCTGTAGGCCCCTCCCCTGCTACCAAAAACTCTCACCACACAAATGCAGCACATCATCTCAGTTGGAAAGTGGCATTTGGGAAGAGAACTGCAGTCTGGATTCATTGGGTTGGGAAACTTCCATAAGAAATATTCTGACCAAAGTTTGCTTTTGGCTGATCCTATTACAAATCCCTTTTTCCCTACAGTACTAGTGTCTCTGACTCCTTCCCACATTGCAAGCAGTAATTTGATGATTTGTGCCTCTCTTCTTTCTTTTGTGGGGAAACACTGCTTTGGGGCAACCTGATTTTTCACTTCTCCATCTGACTTCATGTCTGTCCCACAGATGTTTTTGGCTTCATTAAGCAGGGAAGAAATAGGGTAACTCTTTAAGAGACAATGCTGTGCTTGGCTTTATATTCCCTCTTTTCACCAGCTCACTAGTGCTGTGATTGCTGGTGTGAATTACCCTCAGACAGGCAAGAGGGCTCATGCGGCACTGCTGAGTGCCATCACACAAGCTTGAGGGTGCTGCTTTGCTGAGTGACCCTTTGCTTTGCTCTCTGCCAAAAAAAAGAAAAGTGTCAGTGGGATCCTCCCTGCACAGCTGGATTTGATCTGCTGTGATTTGTATGTAGTGGGTTAACTGAGATTTTTCTTTTTTGGTAATATAATCACTAGGTTGTATGCTATTAGTTGAAAACTGACTCCATCAGTCTTTCAGTAGGTGAAGTAGTTTAACAAGTATCCACCAACTTCATGGGCTATTTATTTAAACCAATAATTTATGCACTTATAAAAAAAAGGAGCATGTTGAAGAGGGTTAGGGGGAAGTCTCCACATAGTCCAAACCAAATTACTCCTCAGCCCAACCATTAAGCACTTCCTTAAAAGAAAGAAACCCGTCCTGGCTCCTCACTTGGCAAGCAAGCTGTTTATAGCCTGTCTGGTGTGATCTTTTTGGTTCAGGTTTTATTACTGTGCTTTGCCACTGGCCCTAGGGAGTTTCTAAATGAAGTAGGCTCAGACTTCATATGAGACCTAGAAGCAGCAGACTAATTTATAGTATTAAAGAGGGTAGTAGTAGGGAGTGGTTTCCCATGCCCATGTCGTCCTAAGCACGTGTGGATAACTATATGCTTACTATGCAATTGTTCACATCCTGCCACTGCTTAAACAAACAGTATTTATATGCAACCAGAGTAAAACCCCCCGGTGTTCCCTTCCCTTTTAACCACATAAAACTGCATACTTTTATTTATATCTACACAAATATAAAGCTTTTCTTTGCAAAGGGCTTAAAGGCTTAGACAACACTCTTGGTTTTCCCTTTTTTTTTCACTCTGAGGTAAGCAGTGTTTTAGCAGGAAGGATAGAGAATTGCAACCTGAACAAGTAGCACACCATTTGTCCATTGTTTTGGCTTAAAAGCCCTAGTTAGTGGAGTTTCATAAACCCCATCCCTTGCTCAAGCCAGCTGAAGTGCCTTCCTGTTCCTTCCTGGCTGCAGAGTACTTGCTCTGTGCAAGAGGGGAGTCTCATGCCTGGGCTCTGTTCATCTACTGCAGTCCTGCCTTCGCTGCTGCAGCCATCCTATACCCTTAGCAATTTACGCAAATGCCTGGTCTTTCAGCTGCTCTCGGGGCAATTTTTTTGTGTCTTGGCAAGTATGGAGGTACCCTTTGAGACAAAAATTATGCCTGTGGTGAAGGATGAGCATTTTGTAGTATCAGGGGTCCTTTTGTTGTGTGAGCTTAGTGCTGGTTCTTCAGTTGTATCATGGCTTAACCTGGCAGGCTGCTAAACACCACACAGCCATTTGCTCACTCCCCTCCTTGCAGTGGGATGGAGGAAAGAATTGGAAAAAAAGTTAAAATTCATGGGTTGGTATAAAGACAGTTTAATAGAACAAGAGAAAGAAGGAATAATTAATAATGACAATAAAAATAATGATAAATAGAATATACAAAGCAAGTGATACACAATGCAGTTTCTCACCACCCACCAAATGATGCCCAACCAGTTCCTGAGCAGTGACCTCCAGCCAGCTTTCCTCTTTTTATGTACTGAGCATGACATCATATGGTATGTAATATCCCTTTGGCCAGTTTGGGTCTGCTGTCCTGGACATGTCTTCTCCCAACTTCTTGTATCTCCTAGCCTACTCGCTGGCAGGACTGTAGAGAATCTGAGGAGTCTCTGACCATTGTTTAGCAACAACTAAAACGTCAGTGTGTTATCAACATTATTCTCATCCTAAATCCAAAACACAGCTCTATACCAGCTACTGGGAAGAAAAATTAATTCTATCCCAGCTGAAATCAGGACAAGTAGCTTCACTGACATGCTGTGCAGAGGAATCTGGCCTTGAGAAACACAGAGCCCATCTTCCTCAAAAGCTATTGCTCTTGCTGACAGAAGCAGTTATTTTGAAGAGAGGATAGAAGGAGTGTGGTAGGATGGAATCTCTCCTTGGAAAGAAATAATGTTTAGTAATTAAACTTAGTAATTAGATCAGCTGTCAGGGTCAAAGACCTGCAGAGCTCATTGGAGCTATGTAAGCAAGTGAGGGTGATAAGAGCTCTGGGCTCTTGTCACTGGGACAGTGAGGTGCCAAGGAGAAATGGGTGTGCAGTGACTGACACAATGCTGCATCGCTCCTTCCCATCTGACACACTTCATCAACAATCAATGTGTACAGTTCAGAGCAGCAGTATAACTTGCACATGGTACCAATTGATACAGACTCAGAGAGGGGCATTAAAGACATTCCCATGCAACCCCCTGTTTCTTTGTGAAGTAAGCATGTTCAGGTCTACCAATGTGTGTGCTCATCAGTCACAATGCCAGAGGCAGTCACCAGTGTGAAGCTGGTAAGCGTGAAGGGCAAAGCACATCCAGTGGGCTTCCTGCATTAAAAGCAAAACCAAAAGCACTGGCAAGATTCTCATGAGAATAAATTGTATCAGACTGTGTCTATACCTGGTGATATTGGCAGCAAATATTGCAACTTTCACACTTTCACTTATTACTTTATGCTGTCAGCTGCTTTTCATGTCAGCGATACGGTATACGTTTTGCCCTCAGTATTTCTGGCAATAATACAAACTGATTTTGTTTCATCTTATTTTGGGTTTTTTGGTTGGATATTTTTATTGGTCAGAGACTTTTTTTGCTGTGCTAACCTTGTTTCTCCCTGCATAAAGCCTTCTTTATATGAGCATAAGCTGATATACAAGGGATGAAGAGCCACTGTTGATGATCCTGTTTTAAATACATGTCATGAGCTACTTTGTGCTCTGTCAGTTTCTTTTTAGCATTTGAAAAAAACTCTTCCAGATGGAGCCTGCCATGATACTTCTTTAATGCAAAGGCACTTGTGTACTCTCA